GGGGTTAAAAATAAGTTTGATATGTGTATTAACCTCTCTCTTTGCCTCTCTAGACCATATGTTGTAAAATTAAAACACAATGAAAAATATGCAGTTCAGCGACCAACAGAATGACTACAAACTACATTTTAGATATTTGCGATAAGTCATTTATTTTAGGTATTTGTTAGGTCAGTATTAATGTGTTTCAATTTGAGGCTGAATAAGAATTTGATATTTTGTAAAGTTCCAAAATGATTGTAATTTTCTGATAAGGCCCATTTAGACAAAAATTCATAAACACGTTATTGCACAATGCTTTGACAGTTGGGACGGCCACAAAGTGGTTGGGCCATATAGTTTTACCCTTGTCCATCCTGTCATTCTGTCATTCCCCCATTCCATCAGAATCCACAATGAACAGTTATACAGACAAAATGTCGGGGGCATATTAATTTACCACTGTCCGTCTGTCCGTCCGTCCGTTCGGTATTAGGATTATTGTTTGTCCAGCTATCTCCTCCTACAGTTTTGGTTGTACAGCTTTAATATTTGTAGGATGTTCAAACACATAATGGAGGTGTGCATGGCCACAGGATTTTGATTTCTTTTAAATATTCTAAAAATGACAGGTTGTTGGACTTAATCATTTTTTTGGTACTAGCTGCATAAAGAGATCATGGTTTGTCTGGCTATCTCCTCCTACAGTTTATGAGATACAGCTTTAATATTTTGTAGGATGTTCATACACATAATGGAGGTGTGCATGGCCACAGGATTTTGATTTCTTTTAAATATTCTGAAAATGACAGGTTGTTGGACTTAATCATTTTTTTGATACTAGCTGCATAAAGAGATCATGGTTTGTCCAGCTATCTCCTCCTATAGTTTTGGAGGTACAGCTTTAATATTTGTAGGATGTTCATACACATAATGGAGGTGTGCATGGCCACAGGATTTTGATTTCTTTTAAATATTTTGAAAATGACAGGTAGTCGGACTTAGTCATTTTTTTGGTACAAGCTGCATAAAGAGATCATGGTTTGTTCGTCTATCTCCTCCTACAGTTTTGGAGATACAGCTTTAATATTTTGTAGGATGTTCATACACATAATGGAGGTGTGCATGGCCACAGGATTTTGATTTTTTTTTTCAAATATTCTGAAAATGACAGTTAGTTGGACTTTTTGTCATTTTTTTGGTACTAGCTGCATAAAGAGATCATGGTTTGTCCGGCTATCTCCTCCTACAGTTACATCATCATACATAGTGTTAAATTTATAATTTATAATTTCCTATGGTCAGGTGGGGGCATCATTTGTGTCTTACAGACAGCATAACAATTTCAAGTTGTATGCCAACATCACTGTTTGTCAAATCTAAAATATGTGGAACTATACTCATGCATATGGCAGAGCAGAAAGAGGGGGGGGGGGGGCATTGTCCATATTTAGTTTTCTAAATTCCTCCACATATTGAGCTGATTTTTAGTATGTGAGTCTACTATGATGAGTTACAGATTCAGTTAAGGTTTGGTTCTGATCCGCTGATATTTGTCGAAATTATTGGTTTTGGAATTTGAAAATTTTGTGGAATAACAGTTTTCCTTCTCAAATTTCCACTCCTAGAAATGGCTTCCAAGCTTTTTGTGTCATTCAAACACATCTAGCTTTTTTTACTTTTGAACAGGTGAGACAATGCATGAAACAATCTGTTTCATCTTAAAATTCTAACTTTAAAGCAGATAAGTTAATTCTGTAAATAAATTATCAACTTGTATTCCCCATGTTCCATATCAATTCTAGTGTGACTAGACTGATATAACTGAGATCATATATGAAATGTTATCAGTGATGTATAGAGTTTAGTAACTAAGTCAACCAAATAACACCAATATGATGATGTTCATTTTTAGTAATATTGTATCATATTGAACATTTAACTTTATATTTTATGTTTTGAATTAGTTTCAACGACATTGAATTTTGACCTCTGTCAGAAGTTAGATGTTTTCTTAGGACCACAGTTAACAAATTTGGCATCAGACATTGGTGAACAGTACTCTAAGCGACTATCTGTCAGGTATAATTTTCAAATTAGTTATACAAATTATAATTATATTTTAAGATTTTAATACTGAAAGGAATGAGATATAGGAGAAATACATTTGGGAATTTTCTGGATAATATGTGTGTATGCACCATTCTAAATGTGTACACATCATGGAAAGTGTGCATAGATAAGAAAACATATTAAGAAGGGTTATCATTTTAAATGATATCTTTAAAAAAAAAAAATTTTATTTACAACAATTAAAACATATACTTGACTTACATACAATACAATACATGTAAGATATAAATATCATTTTTGTCCCCAGCGCAACAGGTTGCGGGGGACATGGGGGGACATAGAAATATCTGCCGTCTGTCCTTCAATTTGTCCGTCCAGTCTTGTTAGCGCTCTCACGAACTTATATCCTATACTTATATCAGCAATGAATTGGACCATTTCGAAAATCAGTGCGGATCAAATATGTTTAAAAGAGTTATGCCCCTTGGAAACATTAAATATATGGAAAATTGCATCATTAGCGCTCTCATTCGTATAATTCTCGCCTGATTTTTATGAAACTTATATCAGCAATGTCTTTAACAAGTTGGAAAATCAGTGACGATCAATTTTTTTTAAAAGAATTATGCCCCTTTGAAATGTTGATTATATGGAAAATTGCATTGTTAGCGCTCTCATGTGTACAGTTCTTGCCATAATTTTATGAAACTTATATCATAAGTTTATATCAGTAATGTCTTGGACATTTTCGAAAATAAGTGCTCGTCAAATATTTTTAACGAGTTATGCCCCTTGGAAATATTAATTATATTGGAAATCGCATTGCATTTGCTCTGAAGCCTTCATTTCTCTTAAGATATTAATAAAAAGCTTTAAAGAACAAAAAAAACAGTGTTTTTATACGACAGCAAAAATTTTGCGGTCATATATTGGTATCAAGTCGTCATTGTCCAAAGACACATTGGTTTCCAGATAATAACTTTTGTTTAAGTGTATGAATTTCTATGAAATTTTACCATAAGGTTTATGACCACAAAAAGAAGGTTTTGATTGATTTTGGGGGTTATGGTCCTAACAGTTTAGGAATTAGGGGCCAAAATGGGGCCCAAATAAGCATTTTTCTAGTTTCCAGACAATAACTTGTGAAATGGTGTATGGATCTCTCTGAAATTATACCACACGTTACCATATCACAAAGGGATGATAAGAATTTGCTTTGGGGGGTTATACTCAAACTGTTTAGGAATTAGGGGCAAAAAAGGGGGAAAAACAAGGGTTTCCAGGTTAATGGACAATTACTTAAAGGTACAAAACATGATTTTAAAGCAGTGTAAAGGAGGTAATTCAAACACATATTGTCAAATTACCTCCCTTACACTGCTCGTAAATTATTTATAAAGAAATGTATTGTCTTTAGGTGATTAGCTGTCAATTTATTTTTAGAAGTTACTATTTTAAATTGTTTAATAAAGGTAATATAATTATAGCCATGATTATGTATGTGAAGGAATTTTATTTTTAGATATTACTATTTAATGTTGCTGATGGAGGCTTTTTAATTTTAGGCATGATTATGATGTCATTTTCTATTTTAAAAATTATTTAATTTTAGCCATGATTATGTATGTGAAGGAATTTTATTTTTAGATATTACTATTTAATGTTGCTGATGAAAGTGTTTTAATTTTAGGCATGATTATGATGTCATTTTCTATTTTAATACTTTTATGATGTATTTAAATGGGTTTTTATGGTTGCAAAGTCCTAGCTGTCAATTTATTTTTAGAAGTTACATTTAAATGCTGATGAAGGAATTTTAATTTTAGATATTACTATTAAAAGTTGCTGACTAAGGTTTTTTAATTTTAGCCATGACTATGATGTCATTTTCTATTTTAATACTTTTATGATGTATTTAAATGGGCTTTTCCAGACAGCAACTTGTGATTAAGTGTATGGATCTCTCTAAAATTGTACTACAAGGTTCTATACTACAAAGGAAAGACTGCAATTGAGTTTGATGGTTAATGCTAAAAGGGGATTCAAAAAGTTTGGGGGGAAGGAGGGTTTCCAATTTTTTATACCACCGCAAAAAATTTTTGCGGTCGTATATTGGTATGACGTTGGCGTCGTCGTCCGAAGACACATTGGTTTTCGCACTCTAACTTTAGTTTAAGTGAATGGATCTCTTTGAAATTTTACCATAAGGTTAAATACCACAAAAGGAAGGTTGGGATTGATTTTGGGGGTTATGGTACCAACAGTTAAGGAATTAGAGGCCAAAAAGGGGCCAAAAATAAGCATTTTCTAGTTTCCAGACAATAACTGTGGAACAGTGTATGGATGTCTCTGAAATTATACTACAAGTTTCCATACCACAAAGGGATGGTTAGGATTTGCTTTGGGGGGTTATGGCTCAAACCGTTTAGGAATTAGGGGCAAAAAAGGGGGAAAAACAAGGTTGTTCTGGTTAATGGACAAATACTTTAGTACAAAACATAATTTAAAGCAGTGTAAGGGAGATAAATCAAATACATCATTGAAATTACCTCCCTTACACTGCTTTTAAATTATGTATAAAGTAATGATTAATGAACAATTAAGATAATTTAAAACAGTGTAAGGGAGGTAATCCAAATACAACGATTTGGTTACTTCCCTTACACTGCTTTTAAATTATGTTTAAAGAAATGTATATTTATAAAGGAAGACCAGTAAAAATATATGCAAATGTTCCATCTTTTTTTTAACAAAAAAATCCATATCAAAGATTTGACAATATATTTTAAATTCTATTATAAAATAGATTAAGTTAGCACTATGGTAAATTTAAATGGGTAATTATGGTTGCAAACTCCATTGGAAATTTGAATTGAGATTATGACCATATCTTGAGGGAAAGAATTTTTTTGGGGAAAAAGGGGGGGTGTAAAAAGAAATTGTGGGGGGTCAATTTTTTCTCATATCAGATTTCAGAAATTAAAAAGAATTATTCTTCAAATATTATTTTTTTTTCAAATTTCTAATATTGAAAAATTTCAAGAAGTAATCTTTAATTGCACAGTATGGCGCATTAGATTTGTAAAATCTTTGACCACATTTATTTATTTGTTATGCCGAATCTAACCATGTATTTAGATTTTTAATTTTGGGTCCAGTTTTCAAATTGGTCTACATTAAGGTCCAAAGGGTCCAAAATTAAACTTTGTTTGATTTTAACAAAAATTGAATAATGGGGTTCTTTGATATGCTGAATCTAAACATGTATTTAGATTTTTGATTTTTGGCCCAGTTTTCAAGTTGGTCCAAATTGGGGTCCAAAATTAAACTTTGTTTGATTGCAACAAAAATTGAATATATGGGGTTCTTTGATATGCTGAATCTAACCATGTATTTAGATTTTTTATTTGTGGACCCTGCTATCAAATTGGTTCATATTGAGGTCAAAAGGGTCCAAAATTAAACTTCATTTGATTTCATCAAAAATTGAATTACTGGGGTTCTTTGATATGCCAAATCTAACTGTGTTTTTAGATTTTTAATTTTGGGTCCTGTTTTTTAAATTGTTCTACATTAAGGTCCAAAGGGTCCAAAATTAAACTTAGTTTGATTTTAACAAAAGTTGAATATATGGGGATCTTTGATATGCTGAATCTAAACATGTGTTTAGATTTTTGATTATGGGCCCAGTTTTCAAGTTGGTCAAAGTTGGGGTCCAAAATTAAACTTTGTTTGATTTCAACAAAAATTGAATATATGGGGTTCTTTGATATGCTGAATCTAACCATGTATTTAGATTTTTTATTTGTGGACCCTGCTATCAAATTGGTTCATATTGAGGTCAAAAGGGTCCAAAATTAAACTTCGTTTGATTTCATCAAAAATTGAATTATTGGGGTTCTTTGATATGCCAAATCTAACTGTGTTTTTAGATTTTTAATTTTGGGTCCTGTTTTTTAAATTGTTCTACATTAAGGTCCAAAGGGTCCAAAATTAAACTTAGTTTGATTTTAACAAAAGTTGAATATATGGGGATCTTTGATATGCTGAATCTAAACATGTGTTTAGATTTTTGATTATGGGCCCAGTTTTCAAGTTGGTCAAAGTTGGGGTCCAAAATTAAACTTTGTTTGATTTCAGCAAAAATTGTATATATGGGTTTTTTTGATATGCTGAATCTAACCATGTATTTAGATTTTTTATGTGTAGACCCCGCTATCAAATTGGTTCATATTGAGGTCAAAAGGGTCCAAAATTAAACTTTGTTTGATTTCATCAAAAATTGAATTATTGGGGTTCTTTGATATGCCAAATCTAACTGTGTTTTTAGATTTTTAATTTTGGGTCCTGTTTTTCAAATTGGTCTACATTCAGGTCCAAAGGGTCCAAAATTAAACTTAGTTTGATTTTAACAAAAATTGAATTCTTGGGGTTCTTTGATATGCTGAATCTAAACATGTGTTTAGAACATGTTTAGATTTTTGATTATGGGCCCAGTTTTCAAGTTGGTCCAAGTTGGGGTCCAAAATTAAACTTTTTTTTATTTCAACAAAAATTAAATATATGGGGTTCTTTGATATGCTGAATCTAACAATGTATTTAGATTTTTTATTTGTGGACCCCGCTATCAAATTGGTTCATATTGAGGTCAAAAGGGTCCAAAATTAAACTTCGTTTGATTTCATCAAAAATTGAATTATTGGGGTTCTTTGATATGCCGAATCTAACTGTGTTTTTAGATTTTTAATTTTGGGTCCTGTTTTTTAAATTGTTCTACATTAAGGTCCAAAGGGTCCAAAATTAAACTTAGTTTGATTTTAACAAAATTTGAATATATAGGGTTCTTTGATATGCTGAATCTAAACATGTGTTTAGATTTTTGATTATGGGCCCAGTTTTCAAGTTGGTCCAAGTTGGGGTCCAAAATTAAACTTTGTTTGATTTCAGCAAAAATTGTATATATGGGGTTTTTTGATATGCTGAATCTAACCATGTATTTAGATTTTTTATTTGTGGACCCCGCTATCAAATTGGTTCATATTGAGGTCAAAAGGGTCCAAAATTAAACTTTGTTTGATTTCATTAAAAATTGAATTATTGGGGTTTTTTTGATATGCCAAATCTAACTGTGTTTTTAGATTTTTAATTTTGGGTCCTGTTTTTCAAATTGGTCTACATTAAGGTCCAAGGGGACCAAAATTAAACTTACTTTGAGTTGACAAAAATTGAATTCTTGGGGTTCTTTGATATGCTGAATCTAAACATGTGTTTAGAACATGTTTAGATTTTTGATTATGGGCCCAGTTTTCAAGTTGGTCCAAGTTGGGGTCCAAAATTAAACTTTTTTTTATTTCAACAAAAATTGAATATATGGGGTTCTTTGATATGCTGAATCTAACCATGTATTTAGATTTTTTATTTGTGGACCCTGCTATCAAATTGGTTCATATTGAGGTCAAAAGGGTCTAAAATTAAACTTTGTTAGATTTCATCAAAAATTGAATTATTGGGGTTCTTTGATATTCCAAATCTAACTGTGTATTTAGATTTTTAATTTTGGGTCCTGTTTTTTAAATTGGTCTACATTAAGGTCCAAAGGGTCCAAAATTAAACTTAGTTTGATTTTAACAAAAATTGAATTCTTGGGGTTCTTTGATATGCTGAATCTAAACATGTGTTTAGAACATGTTTAGATTTTTGATTATGGGCCCAGTTTTCAAGTTGGTCCAAGTTGGGGTCCAAAATTAAACTTTTTTTTATTTCAACAAAAATTGAATATATGGGGTTCTTTGATATGCTGAATCTAACCATGTATTTAGATTTTTTATTTGTGGACCCCGCTATCAAATTGGTTCATATTGAGGTCAAAAGGGTCTAAAATTAAACTTTGTTTGATTTCATCAAAAATTGAATTATTGGGTTCTTTGATATTCCAAATCTAACCGTGTATTTAGATTTTTAATTTTGGGTCCCGTTTTTCAAATTGGACTACATTAAGGTCCAAAGGGTCCAAAATTAAACTTACTTTGATTTTAACAAAAATTGAATTCTTGGGGTTCTTTGATATGCTGAATCTAAACATGTGTTTAGAACATGTTTAGATTTTTGATTATGGGCCCAGTTTTCAAGTTGGTCCAAGTTGGGGTCCAAAATTAAACTTTTTTTTATTTCAACAAAAATTGAATATATGGGGTTCTTTGATATGCTGAATCTAACCATGTATTTAGATTTTTTATTTGTGGACCCCGCTATCAAATTGGTTCATATTGAGGTCAAAAGGGTCTAAAATTAAACTTTGTTTGATTTCATCAAAAATTGAATTATTGGGGTTCTTTGATATTCCAAATATAACCGTGTATTTAGATTTTTAATTTTGGGTCCCGTTTTTTAAATTGGTCTACATTAAGGTCCAAAGGGTCCAAAATTAAACTTAGTTTGATTTTAACAAAAATTGAATTCTTGGGGTTCTTTGATATGCTGAATCAAAACATGTGTTTAGATTTTTGATTATGGGCCCAGTTTTCAAGTTTGTCCAAGTTGGGGTCCAAAATTAAACTTTGTTTGATTTCAACAAAAATTGAATATATGGGGTTCTTTGATATGCTGAATCTAACCATGTATTTTGATTTTGGACATTGGACCATAATAGGTAAATTAAAAAAATTCAAGTTCTTAGACCACATTCTTTCTGTGTCAGAAACCTATGCTGTGTCAAATATTTAATCACAATCCAAATTCAGAGCTGTATCAAGCTTGAATGTTGTGTCCATACTTGCCCCAACTGTTCAGGGTTCGACCTCTGCGGTGGTATCAAGCTGCGCCCAGCGAAGCATTTTATTTTAAAAGGGTTCATATTTTTTTTTCAAAATTTTCAAAATTTCAAATTTTTGAAAAGTTTCACGAAGAAATCTTCAATTGCACAGTATCTCACATTAGATTTGTAAGATCTTTGACCACATTTATTTTGTGTCAGAAACCTATATTATGTCAAAAATTTGATCACAATCCAAATTCAGATAGTATCAAGCTTGAATATTGTGTCCAAATTTGCCCCAACTGTTCAGGATTTGACCACTGCAGTCGTATCAGGCTGCGCTCAGCGAAGCATTTTATTTTGAGTTATTGTCCTTGTACCTTGGATAGATGAAATATGTGCAATGCAGGGGACATTGGAATTCTGTTCTTTTATTATGAATACATTATAGTTTGAAATATTAGACATTTTCTATAGAACAGATTAATAGAAAAAAATAGAAAAAATATCAAAATAAATAAATAAACAATAACAAGTGACAGATTATATAGGAGTGTGAAATAAAAAAGAATAAAAAGAGAGGAGAAAAAGAGAAACAAAATTATCCAGTTGCATCCCTATCTATATTTTTAAATGTAACATATTAAAATGTAATTTAAATGATATCTTGCCCAGATTTGGTAACACAGAATTAGTATTGATACTCAAAAGGAAAAGAAGTGTTTAAAAATACAATCTGCAGTTTCCTATTAAAAGCTCTGAAGTGTGATGGTGGCATTGTGACACTATCTTGTTGATAGCTACACTGAAGTGCGATGATGGTATTGCTGAAGTGCAATGGGCTACATAAACTATACTTTCAATGCTTTGCATATCGATGTAGAAGTCAAGTTGTTTGTTAGAAGCAGTTTTTTGATAGAAGCAGTTATTTTAGTTTTTAGGTTAATAAGGGGCTTATAAACTTTTTAATATTTAGGGAAACGGGGAATGATTGGTGGAGAGGGGTAAGTGAACCTTTTGTAGCTGATTTTTTTTCGAAATTTACCAAAGGTTTTTTTTTTTATTTATGATGGAGCGTGGCATTCTCTAAATACATGCAGGTTGCAGACAAACTATCTGTATTATAATATTATGTAAAGATAAAATGTTAACGCAGAATTACGTTCACATGCTGAGGACAATCTCTCACTTAGTATGCAACTGTAACTAAGGACACTCATAGAAAATAACGAATGCAAATTTATATACTACAGGTAACTATTAAAAAACACATCGCACATCAGGGAAAGGACCATTGCACTTCAGCGCAGACCATCACACTTCAGCCTGACCATCGCATTTCAGCATCCCCATCGCACCTCCAAGTCCTACAAATATACCCTGAATTTTTGTATTTGATTGTTGGAGAGTACATGTTCTTTCAATACATTCATGAAACATGTCAAAATCTTTTTGGTTTTTTGTTTGGGGGAGGGGTGTTATATGTTATTCATTGGTATTTGCATATTTGTGTTAATTTAGTAGAACACTAATTTTTATTGTTTCCTATTGCAAACAAAGAGTGGGGGACAATAAAATACTGGCTGTCCGTCCATGTGTCCATCTGTTTTTTCAATCCTGTCTTGTAAGCACTTTCACTCCTAAGTTTTTTGTCAAATTTTAACAAAACTTTATCAAAAGTTTATATCAGCAATTTGACAAGTTGATAAATCAGCAGCTATCAATTGTATGGAAATTTACACTTGAAGCACTTTCAAGCCTACATTAGTGTCAATATTTTTATGAAATTTATATCGGAAGTTTATATCAGCATTGTGTTCGCTTTGACATGTTAAAAAAATGGTCAGATCAAGTACCGTATAGCGGGTTATTTTCGCGGGTGTTTATTTTCGCTTATTTTGGCGGGTAAGGGAAAATCGTGAAATTAAATTCCGCGAAAATGTATGCATACGTTCGGTTCTTTCTAATAAGTAAAGCGTTTTGTTAACTATCTATTTTTTTCCCGTTCGTCGGATCAATAATGGTTTATGTGAATTTAAACAACTTAATGCAAAATGTCATTGTTCACTGGCTGTCAGGTGGTAATTAGTTAATTGGTTACATAATAAGATAATTAATAATATAAGAGTGTAAGGTACTTTGTCAGGTATGTTATCCTTATTAATTAGTGTCAGATTATTTAAGAGTTGCAAGTCACTCTTGGTAATTTTGAATTCTAATTAGTACATCAAAGGTCCGGTCAATTTCGTAACTAACCAACCGTTACATTTACAAGAAGTTTGTACAGCTGTTACAAATATCTAATTACCGATATTCTATTGAATAACTGTATCAAAATATAATCAATAAATTGGACATTTAACTTGTTTTCAATTTTACAACTTTTTAACTGGAACAATTATAGTATCCGCCAAAATATTTAATTGGGATTGAAGAATCCGCCAAAATTTTTCGTATACTTTGTTGCCCCTAAATAGCGAAATTTTACACCCGCGAAAATAACCCGCTATACGGTATTTTTAATGGAGTTATGTCCCTTAGAAATGTAAATTATATGGAAATTTCTATGTAAGTGCCTACATTTCATGTCAAATTTTTAAATATAAAATAAGAATATATTAGCAATGTCTAGGACAAACTTAAAAGTCAGCACCGATCAATTTTTTTCTAAGTGAGTTAAGTCCCTTAAAAATGAAAACTATATGGAAAATTTAACTGTAAGTGCTCTCACATCCACATTTCTAGTCTGATTTTTATGAAATTCATATGAATGGTTTAGCATAGCTATTTTTCCTTGAAAATGAAAATAATATGGAAAATTGCATTGTAAGCACTCTCATGTCTAGATTTCTTGAAGGTTTTACATGAAAAACTTTAGACAGATAAATTATTTGCAGTGGCAGAAAAATTGAAATGCTGGTCAGATATATTTTTATTGCAGTCTTCGAAACATATTTTTTCTTATGATATGTAAGTGTTCAAAGATTCAGCTTAAGACTAAGCTTGTAGTTGAGGCTCACCTTTTCTTTACCCCAGGTGATGAAACTTTCTATAAACAAACTGTTGAGTTCATTCATATTTTATTTTTGAATGCAGACGCAATCAACATATGTATTAAACATACTTTAAATTGTTAAATATTTTGAATTTATTTTTGAATGCAGACGCAATCAACATATGTATTAAACATACTTTAAATTGTTAAATATTTTGAAGACCTTTAATAAACCAAACAGATTTCCAAAATTGACAATAGTCTTTTTCTGGTGGGTAATTACCTAAAGTGTTAGTTTTAAAAACAAGATTTGGATTAAGGAGATTTAATGTGTTTTAAATGGAATGACCTCTAACTTAATAACTAGTCTATTATCTAACATCATAATACACTTCTTTGATCTGTTTGTTTTGTGTATTCTAGTTATTAATATTAAAAGAAACAAAATGCTTTTTAAAGGTAGTTGCTTCATTTATTGCTGTTAAGTAGATGTCCTATTTGTCATTGACTGGGGTCAAATGGTCATTCTACCAGTCTGGTCAAACTAGATTATACTGCCCAACTACTCTGTTACTATGTTAAATATCTTTTACGTTTACGTTTACGTCTTCAAATAATGGGATTAATGCTACCAATCATGCCAAGGTTAAGTTTTCAGTAGCCGTGTTTCTGTCAGAATTCCAACTGTCACAAATTTATGCAAACATTTTGCACAGGTATTCCCTAAAAATTCCTTTTAAATGATATCATGTAACCATTTTTATATAAAAACCACATCATTGCAGTGATTGGACCACAATTTCTGCTAAATTGGGCATGTTTTTGTAAGTGATAAAAAGTAAGAAAGAGGAGAGTTGGTGATTTACTCTTCCTTGCATCTGTCAAAGCCAAACAGATATATGACAGTGGAACAGTCTACAGAGTGAGTGACATCAGTTTATATGGTACATGAATTTTTCAAGAGCTTCATAGAAGTCCAATACAATCAGTGTCAAGTCGTTGGTCAACTAGTAAAGATCAGTATTCATACACTACTCTTTTTTCTCAAAAACTTCATTAAGAAAACATGACGGAGTATATATTTGTATATCATTTATTAATTTGAAAATAAACCAGGCTGTTAGATTTCTTGTTTGATTGTTATATACTTTATCATGCTAGAGCCTTTGAAAGCCTGTTTTTTGGGGTACTGGTTTTTACTCAATATTGAAGGCTGTATTGACCTATAGTTGCTTAAATCTATGACATTTGATCGCTGATTAATAGTTCTCATTGGTAATTATATCACATCTTTTAAATTTTACATTTAGACAAATGACTTTTGTTTTTCAGTAGT